TATGATTCTTTTTGGCATTCTGTGCTGCTCTTGCTGCCATACCAGTAACATGAAAGGATCTGGTCAGAAGGGATAACCCCAATGTATTGCACTAAATCCTCATCCAAGGGATTGCTAACTGCAATTGGGTGAACTTAGCATGACCTAAAAGGGATGTCTGCAGAACCAGCTCAGCTGTTACACCCATGGTGTAGCAAGTGCTGAACGAGATCAATGTCACAGTACTTAGCAGCATGTGCTAGGTCAGTCTTTGATGTGCTATAGCATGTAGTGTAAGTGCACAAAGGAGATCTAGAGGTGAGTGAAAGCTTGTAAATAACAGATAATAAATAAGATTTGATGTGTAGGGGGTAGGGCGAGTCTTCCGTGTGGATATTAGTTTAGTTTGGGCTCTCTGGCATATGCACCACTAACCAGTGTTACTTCATTCATGTTTCTCTGAATCTCCTTGGAGGCCTTTACTCCTTCCAGGTGCAATCCTGAGTGACAAATCCTGGTCTTGCTTGATCGTGGTTAAGAAGAGCTTCTTATCAGATAACATCCCTACGTGTAATGCAAATATGATCACCAGCTCCTGTTCAGAGTATGTGTTGTAAAGATACCAAACAATCAAGAATTGAACAAAATCTGTACAGGTCCCTTCCAACTCAAGCTATTCTATGATTCCATGATTCTATCAGCTCTCTGGCTGTGGGAATGCACAGATCTCAGCCAAATCAAAATAAATAAATGCATACAGCCACTTGCACCTCTCCTATAACCTGAGCCAGGTCATGACCTTTCTATTGCAACCCAGTCCCCTGTCTCTTGGGAGGTAAACCTTGCTCTGCCCTCTCTCTTAGGATCAGCACTACCCATATGTCCTGTCTCCTGCTGTATCATCTCCTGTGACTCACATTACTGATGCTTACATTGGCAACAGGTAACAGCCCTTTTCCACACCTTTTTTTAGCCTCACATCCAGGAGTAGGGGAAGGACAACCACTGTTGCTGACCTCCCACTCTCTTCATCCCTTTCCTTACTCTACTCTTGAAAAAAATTGTGAATAAAAGAGTCTTCTTCCATTTTGCTGAGGGAGCAATGAGAAATATCTTCTACAGCTCAGTTTGGGGATGCCTTCTGTTTTTCACTCCCTCAGTAACTTTGCCAGTGACTGTCTGGTTTCACCCAGGCTCGGCAGCAACATATCTGTGAACACAGTGAACTTCCCACAGAAGTCATCTCCAGCCCTGGTAACTGGGGACAGGAGTGACCACTCTTCAAATATCTGCAAGAATTTTTACTCCTATTTCAATATTTCTGCTGATTTAATTTTGATTGAATGAAACAACTTCCCATGCGCTGCCAAAACTCAAAGGAGAGAGGCAGGAATGGAGAACTCTACAGATATTTGTGGAAGAAACAGAGCATCTTCTTATAATGTAATTTTAAGTCGGTCAGTGGTGAGACACAAATCCTACGGCACTGAGCTCTTCATTGTTTAGCTGATGGTTTTTCTGGATGGAAAGAACCTGCACCTTTATTATCAATGGTGAGACAGATCATCCCAAGTTTTTAAAATAAATCTTCCCTTCCCTCTGTCACATTCTTCTGAAATGGTGCATATCCTTGAAGCATTTGTTTCTCTGGGAACATGAGGTACCGCCAGAAAACTACTTAGATCATTTATTACTCCTGAATATTTAGAAATCGTTAACCTTTACACACTCCACCCAAGGAAGCACTGGAAGAGGCTGGAGCATTTTTTTTTAACTCTTTCACTCCTACTCCTCTTTTTAAAAGTCCTGTTCTGTTGTGTATCTTATGTGCTGGCAGGTTCGTGCACATTTTATGATCTGGATGATTCTGCAGGGGTACATATGGATAGGGAAGTCATATTTTTTCTTAGAGGCAGAAGGATCGATACTGGGGGTTGTTTCCACTGTTTAAAACATTAGCATATCCAGATGTAACCAGAAATGGTGAAGAGGTCCAGCTAAAATGCAGAACAGATGGGATCTTTGCCCCAAGCTCTTTTAGGGTCAAAGAGCAAATCTATTCCCCGTTTTGCCTTTTTGTATGGAACTAGAAATGGAAACAATAAAACTTCTCAAAAGGCTGTTTTCCCTCTGTTTCTAACAGACAAAACCTGGAGATGGATTTAAACCCTACAAGCCCCATATGCAGTTAAACTTTCCCACTGGCTGATGAGCAGTGGAGGACAAAAGCAGGCTGGGTGAGTAGTTCTTTATTTCCTGGACTGAAGTCTGGCAATGCTTCCCAGACGTGCCCAGTTCCCGGCACTGCGCAGCTGGATCCGACTTGCCACATGCCCAGCGTGAAGCAGCGCTGCCTGCAGCTCAGCCACAGGACCCCCATCACAGCATGCCATGCGCTGGAGTTAATGTCTGCTCTTTGGGCTTGCCTTTGGACCACAAAGGAGGAACCCTAAGGAAATATTCCTTTTCTTCTTCACCTCCCACATCAAGCATTATGAAGAGAAGAGCTGTATATTCCAGGAGAAAAACTGGGTTTTGAGAGACCATTAGTATTAAGAATATCATCGACTAAGTAACACCTTTGTTTTCATTCTTTCTTTTATTCAAATACGCAATTACAAACAATAGGTAAGTGGAGCCAGGTGAACTCCTCAGGATGGTGTTTTGTCTTGTGAAAAACGCTTTGTGAGTTACATATGAAACCTAGGAAACAGCTTCAGCCAAAGACAAAGACAGCAATTCTGAGAAGTTGCTGTCAATGCACTCTGGTGATTTCAAAGTGAAACAGTTCAACTTTTCAGTTTGAAACAACATTTGTTTTTATTTTGAGGTTTTCCTGCCTGCAATAAATGAAAAGGGGTGAAAAGTTTAAACACAAAAATGACGTGTTTTGTTTCAGGTCGAACCAAATGCATTGCTTGGTCCAAAATGGAATTTTGGAGTTTTATTGTTTTACCAAGAAAATACAGTTTCATTTCCTGTCAACCCAAATTAAACATTTTTCGTAATTGTAGGCTTGCTGTGCCGAATTCAAAAGCCAGTTATTCCTCCTGCTCTTTAGGAAAAAGTCTTGGGAATTAATGTTTTCTGGGAAGTGAGGTGAACTTTCACAGCATGAGTGTGTGGGAAGGTGATGAGGGAATGGAGCTAAAGAGAAAACTAGAAATTGGTGAAGGCCCAACTATCACTATAAGTACAGGATTACAGTTGATTGGGTCTTGAAGTCATTCTGGATAGTTATTGTTTTCCAGCACAAGAGTGGCTTGGGGCTGGGATCTTTCTGCACAGCCCAGCTGCAGGCCAGCTGAGCACTGCCGAACTCTCAGGCTGTGTACCTAACCCTTTGGAGGGACAGGGTTGTGCCCTATGTGTGAGCAGCTCCTGGTGCTCATCTCCACACTGCCACCAGCACCTGTGATGTGATTCCAACCATAGCTGTCCTGTCCTGTCAGCACACACCCAATGGCGTGTGTTTGTAGCTTTGGCCAGAACAAGGCAGGGGAGATGCATTTGGAGTGAAGATTATGTGGTGTGCAGACGTATGTGACTATTTGGGAGACAACTGTGTACTGTGCTTCATTGTTTTAGTTGGCCTGATCTACTATAAAATTAATACTTTCATATTTAGATCTGTTGGGACATCAGTTGGAAGACCCCGCAGCATGTGGCCTGTATAGTTGAGCTCCTTTCCTAAGAGAAAGCATCATGATCTATCTCTATAGTTTAAAGGTGTTGGTGGGCACCAAGTTCAGTCAGATCTCTGGCCAGCTGAGGATACAAATCACTGAAAAAAAGCCCAGCTGCAGGCCTGTGCTGCAGCCCATATGTAGCTCATAGCTTACTTCCAATTGATGAAGTATTTGGGATTATGAATTACCCTGTAGGGCACAGGGACTGGTATACTTCTCAAATGAATTCGGCATTGTAATTAAGCTAATTATACCGTAGTCTTCAGTTAAGGTAACAAGTTGCTGCTATGCTTGCATGGATTATGCAGCACGGTAGTATACTCTACTGTATTTCAGCATGTGCGTAGCCCTTTTCTTCCTCTTGCTGTACTTCTACATGATGGCCCATGGAATGCTATTACTACCTCCTTAAGCTCCTTGTGTATTTTATCCTGGCCAGACTGCCTGCCAAACATGGGAAGGGAGTGGACAATTCTTGGAGCTCTTCCTTGAGTAGCAAAAGTCATTGTGTGTTTTTCTATGTATGAATGTGTATATGTCCCACACAAGACAACAGCCACAGGAGGAAGCACATCATGGCACAAGGACAGTGTCCCCACCACATCACCTGAAGAGAAACCTTTTCTGAGCAGAGTGCCAAGCTTTGACTGGAAGCCAGGCTTTGGATATCTCACAAATTACTGTGTAAAAGAAATCTTTACAGAGTGAGATGTTGGTAAACAAGAGCTTACTGCTCCTATGATTCACTACCTTCTTACGCACTTAGAGAGCAGATTTCTCCACCCTCCTACGGCTGTGGGGAACCGCAGACACCGTGGAACCGGTGCTGTCCCACAGGCAGCCAATGAGAGCTGCAGCATCCCCCAAAAGTGTGCGTGGATGTGGACTAAATTTTAAATGGAAGCAGAGGTTGAAGGAAAAATACAATGTGTGACTGTTCATCAAGGCAGGGAAGGGATCTTCAGGAAGGTCTAAAGCACGCCTGGGAGCCATGCTCTGCAGGAGTGGCCAGTGCTGTGGCATGCGGGAGAGGCAGGCAGCCAAGTGCTGCTGGGCAGGCAGCAGGGTGGTTTCATGGGCAGGGTATGGTGAGCCTGGCCACAGGTTCCCTGTGTGAATTCAAGTGAACAGCTTACTGATTTTCCTCTCAGGCAAAGGGGAAGATAGAACTGCACTTTTACCATGGGTGCAATGAAGCTTAATTCATGGAGGTCCCACTATAAACTCCCTTGCAAACCACATCAACACTGCTATGTGCAACTGGTTCTTAAATCTTCAGTGTGTTTACACTGTAGAGAAAATCCTAATAGTATATACTCTGTTCAGCTTTGTCTTGGATCTCCTTGTTAGAGCAAGCTACACCTGATACTTTCTGCTTCTTGAAAGCAGTGTAGTCACATCAGTGTGGCACTGAGCCTAGCTAATTAGCCCTTCTTGGCAGGTCTAATTAGCCTGGGCAGGAAGCCACACTGATAGAGCTATACTTTTGTAGGTTGCAGTTCTTGCTTGGTTCCAGTCAGTGCAGATAGATATCTGTATCGCATCCATGCTGTGCTTCAGACATACAGTGAGTGCTTCCCGGGAGCTCAGGACCCTGGCAGCAAACCCCAGTGTGAGGCCAACTGAGGACTGAGGAGAATAGCTGGAGCTGGAAGGCTGAAAGGCTGTTTCTTTTTCCTAGGACAAGCTCTGGCCAAAAAAAAAAAAAAAAAAAAAAAGGAGTCATGCAGACTTTTCTCTGTTTTTTTTTTTTTTGATTCTCCAATGATTTCTGAAAATACTCTGAACCCTGGGGTCCTGAATGAGGTCAGTCACCTTTGTGATCCATTCAAGCCCTTTGTGAGATGGAGGCAGCGCCTCCAAAGAGAAAAGCCACAGGAATGCCTCATGTCCCTGGGATATCCAGGGTCTCCTGCTGGATGGAAATCTTAATAACAAAATGAATCTCTGCATGTCCTTCCCATTACTTACCGTGGGCTGTGCCCCTGTTTGGACTGAGGATTAAATGGGTCTCAGTTTGTTGTCAGCTGGAGGTGGAGACCAAGTGGCAGCTAGCAGTGGAGGCAGGAACCCAGATGGCCACCCTCCTAGATCAACATGCAGGCATGAGAATCAAAAGGAGAATATGTCACAAGAGCAAACAGCATAAGAGCGAGGGCCATAATGCTTGGACTGGCCATCATCCAGGTGTCCACCCTCTTATCACACCATGCACTATTGTCACACATGGCCCCGGCATTTGTGACCAAAGCACTAAGCAAGTGTTTGTGCAGTGAGCAGAGCGGGAGGCTGCTGTTGAGAGGGGAGAGGAGTGGAAAGCCGGCTTATGAGCACGTGGCACATTGCCTGGCCAGCACAGCGTGCAGCAGGGGAGGAAAGGCATGAAACAAAAGCTTTCCTGCAGGAGCAAAGAGAAAAGACCCGCTGCTGACAGAAATGAAACAACACAGTTCGCCGCGTAGGCCAGAGCTCCTGGGGCAGGCAAGGCCAATAGTTGTAAAAACAAAGTTTTGAAGTAGGAAATGTAACATGACTACAAATCGCTTTGCTTCCCCCCCTTCTGACCCTCTCTGCATGTAATGGGGCGCTGGACCATGACATGGCATGGTGGTGGCAATGGGAAGCATGCTCTGCCCTGTGGCCTACCCACCCAGTGTGGGCACTCACCGGGGGCTCACTACCCTGTCCAGGGGCTGCCCCCTCACCCCTCTGACCTCCTCCCAAAACAACGGGCTGCCCCAAATAGAAATATGCCCAACATCAGCCTTTGAGGCCCAGCAGAACGCAGTGGGGAAGCCAGCTTGCTTTGGAGGCCAACTGCCAACAATAACAATCATACGGTGCCATTAATTCCCACTGGGCCTGACTCACAATAGCAGAACTGGGCAGATAATTTGCAACTGATATATCTGTTGTGGAGACAGGACACAGGCATTTTTACCAACAGGTCATCTACGCCCCAGAGCAGAGTCAAAACACATGGTGAAAAATACGTTTTCCTCCTGCTTCCATCCTGGCCTCACCACAGCTTTGGGGCTCAACATCAGGACGAAGGAGGGCTAAGAGCTGCCTGGGATTTTTGCAGGCACAGCTCTGCTATTGCTTCATCTCCTTCTGTTTCTGCTCGTCTTTTTACCAAAATATTTGCTGTGAATGGGAATAAAAAAAAAGACAACTGGAAAGGATTTGGGAGCACTGTTTATACCCTTTGCACTTTCTTCAGAGCCACAAGCTAGAGATGGAAAAGTCATATTAAGTCGTAGAGGATGAACTTTTCCAGGACTTTTAAATCACTTACCACTCTGACAAATGACTTCCAGAGAAACTCTGTGTGGCAATTTCAGTTATTGCAGCCCACCAATGTCTTTTCCATTCCTTGGCTGGAAGTTGCCAACCCCATAGCACTGTCAGCAAAGGAGGATGTGTAACTGTCTCAACAGCTCGAGTTAAGAAATTAAGCAATGTACTGTGACTGCTGAAGTGAAGTCACAGACTCCTGCTGTTGATTGCTCTGGGGAGAAATAAGTGCTGAGAGAGGAGCATGGAGGGGAACTGGGAACAACCAAGATGGACCTTCTCCTTCCACTGCAGTTCTTTGTACCCTTATGCCTGCCAGAGTTTGCTGGGGTTTCAATTCTCAGTTAAAAAGTGACTCGCAATGAAGCAGGATCCTCAGAAGTTTGGTTCTAGAGTGAAATAATTCAAGGCCGGATCTCAAAAGGAAATATGGTGCGTAAGTGGGTAGGAATCAAGGAAGACTTATACAAATGCCTAGCAGGCTAGATACTAAGCTGTCCTTGAAATGCAGAGGAGGCAGACACCAAAAGAGCAAAAGTAACGCAGCTTGTATTTTCTATAGTAGAAGAATTTAGAAGCTGGTAAGTAGCTTTTTCTAATTTTCTCCTCTTCTTAAATATGTCCTTTTTCTTCATTTCATTTTTCCTTGAATTTCTCCTCCTTCAAAAACCATTGATGGTTTTTTTTTTCCACAGCATATTTTGTGATTCAACCTGGAAGTTCACTGCTCATTAAAATAAAACAAAGACACCGCAGGGATATTATTGAACTAATCCCATCATTTCAGAAAGAAAACTGGTGCCACATGACTGACTAGATATCTCCTTATTTGATGAACCTCTGAGCTGTTCAGATGCCATCTCTTACTAGGAAGTTCTCTGTCCCATACTTTTCTTGGGGAAGGATGCCCTGGTGAGAGACTTTCAACTGAAGTGTACAGTCTGGGTTGTCTGAATGGCATGGGATCTGCTTCACATGAACTTGGCTCTAAGTGAGACATTGAGGTTGGGTTGATTGCTCTGTTTCAGTGGAGTTACTTGCAGGGAACAATTGGTATCATGTATATTACACGTTGAAAATTATAAACCTGCTTCAGAGGGAACTCCCTTACAGTTCTTCTTCCATTCAACAGTTTTTAAATTTCAATAGGTATGTGAAGAACAAATATATCTAAAGAAGCTGAAACACTTGGTTATTACGGCAGAAAGGTTGCAAAATTAATTCCAAACTATGCCAATATGAAAAATGATTTTTTCTACTTAGTGACTATATTGGTAAATCATCTGTGGCATAGAGATATTTGCAGTGTTCTGTCACTGTAAGACCTTGGAAGGAGCAAGTCAAAGAACTGAGAATTGTGTGCAACCACTGGAACAGGAGAACAGATCTATAGGATCCAGAGGTGCCAATACAGAGACTTCAGAAGTAAGCAAGTGACAGTGTAACAACAATTCAGTCCCCCATTTCTCAAGAGGACAGTATTAACCTTGAGGAGATATGGCATCCTCATTTCTCATCCCCCTTTTGTTCCACAGGGTGAAGGCCTGGTCTCACAGAGCTAAGTGGCACTGTTGTCACTGACCAGCAGACCCAATTTCCCTCTGCTCCCAGTTCAGTTGTGCTGCCCATTGCTTGAGAAATGTGAGAGGCAAAAAGCCATTGAGCTTGCTAAGCCTTGAACTCCTTTTGTGCAGTCAGCTTTTTGGCCTGAAATCCTATGTAGAGGATCCTGAGGGAAAGCAGTTTTTCAGATCCTCTTTGTTCAGACTTTTTGGTTTAGCATGCTGGAGAAATTACATTGGTGGGATGGAGAGTAAAAGAGGAAGAGTGGAAGAAAAAGGGTGAGTGGGTGCAAATTATTTCATTATGAACTTTCCATGAAATAGCAAGGGTACAGTTAGCGCTGAGAGAAAATTAATTTATGGCAGAATATTGTTGTTGCAACCATTCTTCAACCAGCCACGCTATAGGAAGATAAATAAAGCTCAAGCCAGATCTTCCCCTGGGCTAAGCCTGTTAGATGGAAGATTTATGTGCAACTGGTATGTAGTCTGATAATTCCACTGTGTGACAGAACAAAGGTCTTCACTTGCAGTGTAGGATGTTGTTAAAGGCACCGATATTCGGAACTGGAGCACAGCAGGAAGCTGCCTGATGAGGCTATTACTAGATTTCAGTGGCCAAAAGCAACTTGTTGATCTCTGTGAATGTGTTGCTCACAGCACAGGGTACAGGGCTATCTCACAGTACAGCAAACACGAGGCTTTTTTGTCAGTGACCATGCAGAAAAGCCAAGCTCTGTTTGTTCATCTGAAAAACGCTTACACTAGCTTATTTTTTCCCTTGAAACTCAGCTTTCCTAATTCTGTGTGTGAAGATTTTTTTTTTTTTCTTTTTTTCCCCAGGCTTTTTAAAGTAATATCAGTATTATAGTTAATGAGGCAGTGGAAAGCAAGCTGGTCCATTCGCTGTAGCTAATGACTCCATTCCCATGAGCCTAATCAAAGATTTGTACATTTAATTGCTGTCAAGTCAGCTCTAACCACCTGCCATTTCTGCCACACCTGAGCTCCCTTCTCAGTAGCCATCTCTTCTAAGGGAAGGAAAACAGAGCTGCCAAGCAACCCTGAAATGGTGCTTTACCCTTTAGAGCAAAGATCAAACAGTCTGTGTTGTCACTGAGCAATATGTATCTTAACTGTCTGTGACACAGATTTTTTTGGAAATTTGTTAACCTCATATTGGAGAATGGGGAAGAGAAAAATACACCGTTTACTGGACATGTCCTGGACTTACAACAGGTTTGTGTCAGAGGCAAAAGTAATTTTATTTGACTTACCACTGAACAAATTCGAACTACATTTATTTTCAGTTTTCTCTGATGGAAAATACCACTGTAGCCATTGTTCCACTCCCACAGTGGGCTGATGGTGTATTTTGACCAATCTTTGTCCTCAGCATCACGATTCCTAAACATCCTGCCTTGTCCATAGAGAATTGATGCAGGAAATGTTGTGGGGCCACGTTCATTTGAATGTAAGAGATAACTCCTGTTCATTGTTCTAGATTAAAAAAAAGGAAAAAAAGATTAAAAAAAAGGGAAAAAAAAAAAGGAAAAAAAAAAAAAGGAAAAAAAATGGAAAAAAAACAGTTTCTGCTAAAATAATGTGAAAATAAATCTCGTCTTGTGATCCCAGGTGGATTAGCTTACCTGTTTCCAGCAAGTGGGACTCCTGCTTCTAAGAGTTAGATAGATATGTAAGGTCATGTATGTCTTCAACTTTACTTTTAGAGAAGCTTTTAAAGTAGTTAGGAAAGAAGCAGTCTATCAAGTCACACTAAAACAGTATTGGCTTCAAGATAACTGATTAACTGTTGTTTTTTTTTTTTTTTTTAATGGTTTCCTAATGATATGAGAGTTATGTGATTATGTGGTACAGTTGGTCTGTCTGATCATATCTCACCAGTTGCTTTCCTGTTCTTGGCCACGTTGAGCCCCATATAACAAAGAAATACAAGTGTGAGAGATATTACAAGTATACCCAAGTGGAGATGCAAGGCTCCACAAGCACCTCTGACGAAAGGCCCAAGTAAAAGTTTGAAAAGTGTTATTATCAGAGGACGAGAGACCATAATAATGGTCTTAGTTGGAGATTACCATAAACCACAAATACAGATCTGTGCAATGAGAGATGTCATTGATTTTCATTCTCTCAGACTACTTGGTTTCCTTCTTCAACAGATCACAGAAAGCAAAGACACCATTAAGATATACAGGATCTTTGACAGAATATGATGATTTTTTTGGAAGTGACTTGATCCAAATATAAGCTGAAGTTCTTTTGCCAGTATTGGAAAATTTTCCAATAGCTTTTAATACAATTTACTTCAATTTTAGGATTTCTTCCTCTGCCAGAAGAGTTTAATTGGCCATGAAGTCCTTAGAGTTTTACATTATGAGTTGACAGATGCATAGCTTAATTTAGCAGGAAAACCAAAGAATAAATTTAAGGATCTGAAAACAACTGAAGTGCCTATAGTTACCTGTAACAGTCTGAGAGCTTAAAGCTAAATTCTGCTGCTCAATTTAATATATGACTAACTAGTGTTCTACTGTACTGCAATACAAACACAAAAAGAACTTCCCTTTTTATCCATTTCTGTGGTAACATTTAAAATTTCTGTTACAAATGCACTATAATATCTTCATAAAAACTACTTACAGAGTGGGGAAGCAACTCTTTCCTCTGAGCTGCCAGATAACAGAGATTTGCATGCACACAGAACTGACCAAGATGCAAAAGTCAAGTGGGGTGCTGCCATGATAAAGTCTGTAATTCCTGATATCAATGAGCCAGCTCCCAAAGATTTAAACCTTGAGGTTTCTATGGTTTTCTTTACCACTGAAACTTACCAGGAAATGAAGAGGACAGAAACTTCTTCCATCAATATCTGAACCATCTTACTAGACATGGGAAAGCCATGTTCAAGTCCATGCTCTAACCAAAAAGATTTCAAAGGATTTTTCATTTTCCAGAGAAAATATTAAGGACTGACTGGTGAATCTGCATCCCTGCTTCAATCATCCATTCCTTCACACACAGCATATTTAAAGCTATCCTTTGATAGCTTTAATTGATGGCTTAACACTTTCTTTGACAATGGGAAATAGAGGCTTCAAATTACTTTTGCTTGACCCCATTCTGGGTAAGATTTCTAGTTGGTTAATTAAATTTTATATGAAAGGTACAAATGTTCAGTAATACTCCATAGCAAAGCAGCAGCTTCCACTGAATCTTGCACAGGCTATAAGTGTATAGGGAGAATGTACAGGATGCCCCAGGTCATCTTCACTGGGGACATAGCAGAGGCACTTCTTGCTCTGGGCAACCACTTGCATTTTGTCTGAGCAAGCTGTTGAGATGCTCCATCAGAATCTCTTCTTTCACCTGTACCCATCTGATATTTGCCTCCAGGCAGCTCCATGAAGGAGGTAGGATCCCTTCTGCTGGTTTGATGGCTCCCATTAATGCTCCCAAAGATGGAGCTGAGCCATAAAATGGAACACAGCAGGTTTTCCTAGTGTGCACGAGGTCATAATGTTTGCAATGCTACTACAATGTAATAATGACAGTAAAGGAGGCATATTTTCAAATACTCAGTTGCAGGACAGAGATCTTTGACCTTTTACTGAACCACATTGCAAAATTTATGGCCACAATATATCCCAAAAGCCAGGAGCTTTGTGGGATTAATAAAGGATTAGACAAGCAT